GCCCCCCAAAATGAATAACTGTAATATTGTCCAAAAAAAAGTGTCATAATGCATTGTTTGGGTGCAAAGTGAAAGATGAAAAAAGTGTCAGGTTCTGGGATTTTTCTTTGCTTGGTGTCTCATAGTTTCCCACCCCAGCATGAAGTGATGGTAAAAACAAATATTGTATGGGATTATTTAGTGAATTGCAAGCTCTGATGTTCCAGTTTCTTAAGGGCTAACTTCATTAGCCTGCTCTAATTAAAAATAGAAACAATCATGGAAATAAATAAATTAAAGATGTAAGTGTTCACATTATCGATGCTGTCACCTTTTCAATTCAGATAGTGTGAAAAAACATTTATCTCCCTATTGTTGTTGCTGTTATACTAAAAATTAGGGAGCATACCTCTCCCTGATATTTTCAGTGTTTAACCTGCCTGATTATGCAGGGAATTAGGAATTCTAACATGTAAATACAAAACTTGATTTTAATTTTAAAATAAAAATAAAAACAAAAATGGTTATTTTGATAAGGCCAGACAGACATTTATGTATGTTACATCTATCCTGTTTGATTGTTATTTTCTCTTCACTTTGTCTGTAAAGCATGCAGCCTTTTAGCTTTATATATTCTTGTAGGAGACTCCTGGCCCTTGTGGTTTTTGGCACAGGACCTTGGCACTTAGTTCTAGATATAGCCTCCTATTTTTCCTAAGTGATTTATTGCCCAGTGTATTGGGATGGGGTTTTATTTTCCTTTCATTACACGCTTCATATGCACAGATGTGTATCTTACCAGATATATAGCGGAAAGGCTTTGATAAATAATAGTAATAATTGCAGCTGCCTTGCAGAAGAAAAATGTGTTCGGTTTTGTAATTCTGTATTGTGAAAGCACAATCTCTTTCTTATCTCTTCTGAAACTGCAATTGAGAGAGAACTGTACAGACAAGGATTTTTGATTTTCAATGCAGTCCTCTGAGAACATCTACATACGTTCTGTTTTAAATGAATGAGGATACAGTACTTGGCCCTTGTTCAAGTTACCCTTTTGATTAAGTTTGTTTTTAAATTATAAGAAGTCTAAGTGCGTTTGCCCCTTCTTGTGTTCTAGCATAAATGCACCAGTGCCATGGTATCAGGGCTAATTTCTGTATTAGTTCAAAGGGTGGAAAAGTGTTCACGTGGCTATGTTGACTCTCAAATGAGTTTTTAACCTCTAAAACTGCTGATCCCATAAGCAAATTGAAACTGGCACACAAAACAATGGTGTGTTCTTATCTCTTCTCTAGTATGCATCACTGCTGCATTTCCTTATTGAACTATATACCATGACTTTGTATTACTTCTGTAATGCTGAAGTTAATCATTGTTAATGATGATCAAGGTTTCCATCTTGACTATTGTTTGAACCAGGCTTGCAAATCCTTGACTAGATGCTGGCTAAAAACAAGGGATGATTTTTGTAAAAAAAGGGGAGGAAGGATACAGACAATGTCCACTAGAGACTTCTGATCTTTTAACCATGCTTAAGAGTCACCTTGAGTTATACAATGGCAGAAAGGCAGGGGTAAATGAGGCATCTCTCCCCAGTGTCATCTGCCCAACACCCCAGATCCTCCTAGTCAATGCTCCTTAGGCTTGCCATTCCAAAGGAGGCCCAGAAGTCTTTTACAAGGGGTTGGGCCTTCTTCATGGTGGCACTAAATCTGTGGAATGAGCTCCCAGTTGAGCTATGCCTGGCTCCCTCCCTGCTAATGTTGAGAAGGCAGCTCAAAGTGCTGGTTTTTAGGAAGGCCTTCCACAATGACCCTGCTTGATGTCACACTTCTTACTCTGCTCTTAAAGAGATAATGTGCTTTTGGTGCCGTTGATTTTAATTTTTCAACTGTTTTAACCCTTTTCACTGTTTAATTATATGTTTATTGTTATATGCCTATTTATTGTATTATGTTGTGAACCACCCAGAATACTGCATTGTACTAATGGATGGTATTTAAATCAAATAAATAAATATTAATTAATGGGCTTGCAACATTGTGTCTGTAGTACACAGGACATTAAGTGGCTCCTCTTTTTCCTTTGTAAAGGTGAGAACTATTAATTGTTCAATTACCATATTTTCCCATGTATAAAACAACACTTTTTTTTCCAAATATTATTAGAGGAAAAATTGAGGGTCGTTTTATACATGGAAGGAGGTGGAGGCGAAGGAGCAGCCACACTCGGCCACCCCTCACGTCTGCCTATTGACTGCTCCTCTGCCTCTGGCAGGGGTCAAATTGGGGGTCGTCTTATACACTGGGAGGTTGTATACACTGAAAAATACAGTAGTTGTAAAAGTATTCTAAAAGTTGTGAAACTTGGGATTTGAGCCACTATTTTGTAAAATGATATCCAACATGATCGTTTACTAGTGGCTGTATTTTTGATAGTTACTTTTAGCTTGGTTAATGTAGAGCAGTAAATAGGAATGGGTAAGTACCCTGTTAGACTCCAATGCATTGTCTAAACCTCTGTGTTTGGTTTGGTACACAGTGATGACTGTTGTACTTGAATTGCCTGTAGTCACTGCAGTTTCTCATCTCTCCGACTGGTTTGCTTCTATTCTTGTGATGTATTATCTATCCTTGCACTGCTGAAAACATCAATACAATTCTGAGAGGAATAAAATCACAATGGAACCCGTTTATGGTCACATAATTTGTACATCGCCAAAGGGAACAATAGTAAGTAGGTATGTAGTGCACTCTGTTTTCATGTAATTGATCTTGGAAAATGTGTTTTCCTCACATTTAAACATCTGTAGTTACTTCATGTGTATTCATAAATTTTCATCTGACATGTGCATGGATTTCACAGGAAAGCATTTCAGTCACTGTAACAGGGACTTCTAATCAAAATGGATTGTAATGTCCTAAGGTTGACTGGCTGGTTGGTTTGTATGGCTATTGCTATTTATACCACAGTAAACAGTAATCTTTCTTTTAATCCACTGCTCTTTTAAACAGGGAAAATAAATCATTTTTATTTTTTAAGTAATTCAAAGTATAAAGGTGTTCTTACATCTTAGATTTCTAGGTGCCAGGGCTGCACAGTATTGAAGACACATTGTAGAGGCATGACCTGCGGTGTTTTGCATCGCTTTCTAGTATAAACAATCTAGGTAAGATTTATCTGAATCTTACTTTCTATACACTGTCTGGCATACTGAACAGGCACAACAATCCTATATGAGCAGGCACGGGGGAATCTAAAGCAGAGGAAGTAACAGACTCACAGCTGGGCTTCTGTATCAGCAAGGCATTTTTCTGTGTCTCTCCCTACTCTTTTTGTTTCTTTGCTTCTTCCCATTTTTTTATCTTCTTGGTTTTCTAGTTGGCGTATCTCCCTCCCCCCACATTCTGCTATTGTATTGTGGGAGCAGAGGGGCTTTTCAAAGTCTATTGGAATTGGCACCTTCTCAGTTTCCCTGTTTCTCTGTCACCATTGTCTGAGCTGAAGAATATAGTGGCAAGGGTGGTGGAAGTTTCTTTGTGTCCATTGAGGAAAGCTGGTACAAGTAAACCCCCTTCTTTGCCCATAGTCCTCTTTCTCTGTGGGCAGAGAAGGAGATATGTTACATTTTTCAGTCTCTGGAATACTGCAGTTTAGAACAGAAATTGACAGATTTTTTTTTTCCACCAAAGAAACTGTGGAAGCTGAATTCATAAAGAATCATTGGAACACACCTTACATTCATTGACTGATTATATTAAGATTTCTCAGTAAAACATGACTTATGGTAGGCATTAGAGAAACTTCTTAGAAGCTGTCTTTGAGGTCAATGATACAGTGAAGCTGGACTTTCCAGGAGTTGTGATGGTGTGTTACATGCTGTCATGTCAGGACCAACTTACAGCAACCTTAATAGTGTTCAAGTTAAATGAGATATTTAAGGAGTGGCTTTACCATTTCACTGTTCCCCCCACGAGCTTTCATGGCAGTGGAGGGATTCAAATCTAGCTCTCCTGAGTCCTAGACCATCACTCTGTCTGCTACAGGCCTCTATCCATGACAGGCAGTTGTTAGTTTCACTATCCTCAAGGAAGGAAGGTTCAGCACCTTGGAAAGGTGCTGTAAAGTCTAGGGTAAAAGTCAAACTTCATAAAGCCGTGCTGAAATTGGTACCACAGCTTCCAGTGATAAGCTCTCTTCTCTTAACTGAGGAGAATTCAAGGTTTCTTTTTGGGATGGATAGTCTATTCATGACTAAAAGATGAATAACCAGGTTTCTGGACTTTGATTCAGATGCATAGGATATATGTGTGTTTCCTGATTATGCTTCAGTGAAAGTAGTGAAACATTTCCATGATTCCATAGGCAAATAATTACATGTTGAGGACTCAGATTTTTCTTCCCACTTGAGTATCATGCCAGATTGGAAACTTACTGATTTTTTTTTGGGGGGGGGAGGGGTTTACAGGATTTTTTAATAGCATTGTTATTGGACTTAATACAAAGTTGTATTGGACACACTTTAAAGAAATGCAGTGCAACTCTGGACAGGATGTAGAACGCAACAGCAATGGTGATGCATTATGTTTTTTGTATTTGCTTACATTCTTAGGCTGTGGCCATGCAGTAGAAATGAGAAATAACATTATCAGGAAATACATATTTCAGTGTAATCTTTCTTCTTTCCCTATACAAGTTTTTAGAACGGATTCTTTCATTTGGTGTTTTGAAGTATTGATTCTTATTATACCCAGTATTTGAGAGCAGTAACATTTAAGGGGTGGATTTCTTGACGCTTGTAGCTAATATCCTTGTTACCTGCAGCATATCTTCATTTGTTACTACTGTGAGTCTTTCATGCAGGTTGAGGAAGATTAATATTCCACTCTCATTCTACTTTCAGTGCAGCAACCTTGGGGCCTGGCTTCTGGAACCTGATTAACTTGTATGTCATTATTTAGTGCGACAGAATGAGTTTCTAAATAAATTAGCTTCCTTTTTTTCCCCTCTGTCTCTGACAGATGCAAGACAAAAGTCTACTCTGATGAACTACCAAACACAAGTGTGGTCATAGTATTTCATAATGAAGCCTGGAGCACTTTACTTCGTACTATTTACAGCGTTATCAATCGGTCTCCACACTATCTGCTTTCTGAGATCATCTTGGTAGATGATGCCAGTGAAAGAGGTATGAACATTGATCAAAACATGTTAAGGAAAATAATGTAAGAGTAATACTGTCGCAAAGTGCCAGAATTATTATTTTTTTAATTTTTTTAAAGTCATTTCTTTACCTTTAGTTATGAAAATTTTATTGTAGGATTATCATCTTAGGTTTCTGAGGATGATACTTAGATTGACAATGGAGGAAAAGCCCATTTTATTTGCCTTCTCTGGCATAGTGGGGAGCAAAAAAGCAGCTTTTGCTATCCCTGTGCAGAGCTTAGAAGAATTAATTCTTGGGGGACTACAGCTTCCAGGATCTCCACCCCAGCATTGTTACTGAGCTCTGGAATGTCGGATACTTAATAAATCCTTGTTGGAGTCCTGATTCCTTGGAGAAGGTCATGAGTTGTTTGGGAGCTTGCTGTGCACAATTTGCTGATTAAGGTTAATCAAATTTGCTCTGATTTAGGGGTCCACTTTAACTATAGAGTTTGCTCTAGCTATTCTTATGATTTCTGTCTGTTAAAACTGAACTGTCAATCAAATTATTTCAGTATGATATGCTGCTGGGGGGACACCATAATATCCTTTGCTTCATGTAACAAAATGTCTTGGGTCAGCCACAAAAGGCAGAATTAGGCCTGCTGGTGTATAATGAATATGCGTAGAACACTGGCTAAATTTTCATTGAAGCTATCCTGATACAAAGAGAAAACTAGGTGATGAATTTCCAAGCCTCATGAGGTTTCTCACCTCCAACCTAAGGGCAAAAAACAAAACAAAAAAGAAATGAAAAGAAAGAAAAAAGAAATATCGATATTTCTTTAGAAGGTGATGGGGAATGGTATATATGTGATTTGGAGAATTGTGGGGGAATAATTTTGTATTTACTATTTGTAATATGGTCGATTGTCTTTTCATTCTTTAGAAATAAAATTAATTAATTAAAAATAAATAAAAAAATAAAAAGAAAGAAAGAAAAAAGGCATCCTTTTCTCCTTTGGAATGCATGCAGAATGATTTTTGTGGCAATCTATGCAAAATTCATCTAGGTACCGTAGTTGTTAGAAAAGGTCTAAACAAGTCATCTCATGCTTTAGAACTTTAAAAATCCATGAAACAAAGCAGCAGTTCCTGCACTAGGACAGCATTGTTCAAGTTATATAACTGACATAAAATTGTTGATTCAGTAACACCAGGAAATGTTTTGCCCTCACATAGGTTCAGGAGGAGGAGAGTGGGGGAAATACAGTTCCTTGTTGCTGCTTGTGAGGATGAGGCAAGCAAGGATTTTTATCTCTGGTTTATAAATTATGCAGCACAATCATGTGGTTTGTGTGGGAGTGACCTCAAAGAGTGTTCAGAAGTTTGATCCGGTCAGAAGTCCATGTGTGGGAGTCCTGACTGGGAACCATTGCAAGGTGCATGTGACTCTGGTAACTCTTCCACACTGGCCTCCTATTTGTTTGCAAACTCAGTCTCAGTGTTTCTACTGCTTTTTAGAGTCCTCAGTGGCTTTCACATTGTCTCCAATTTGTGCATGGCCATTCACTCAGGGCCTTCTTTTGCACTGTGCTTTGGAGGCAGTGTTTGGCATGGCCAGGTCTCGGGGTACTGACTGAAATCTCAGGGAAGTGCTTTGCTTCTCTGCGTCCCAAATTGATGAACAAATCTCAGGGCTAGTGGTGCTAAAGAAGGAGAAGTGTTTTATTTTCTTCCTCCACCCCGCCCATGGATGGTGGCTTTTAAGCCTGGGCAGCCATTTTCATTCATTCCCATCTGATATCGGGGCTCCTTGGCTCAGCAAGAAGGTGTTTGTATGTGTATATTGCTTACTTTCCTTTCAGTTTTTGTCTGTCCCACCCATGTGCTATGACAAGGATCATCCTTGTGACATTCTGAGGAGAAAGTATTCGCCCCTGGTCTCTAGTTTACACCCTAACATCAGGGATTGGAATGCTGCTGAGCTGGCAAACCTTGTAATGGCCACACAGAAAAGGATTTTCTTGAAGAATTGCTTTTAAACTCTGAAATTCCTTTCATTCAGAGCTAATTCATCTACACTGTTTTGCCCTTTGGGGGTAAAGCAGAAACATCATTTTGAAAAGGCATGTGAAAGTGTGTGTATATTTTGCTTTTCCTTGCTTCTTCTTCTCTTCACATTATTTTGATTTCATTGTGTGTTGACTATATTTCTCTTGTTTGATTTCAATTGTTTGACATCTTGACAGTAGACTTTAAAGTCCCGTTGAGTTCTGTGAGGCTTGCACTGAAAAATTGTTTTACAGCATTCATTATATATAGGTGGTGCACAAATACTTTAATATATAAACATTGTGTCCTTCAACACTTTTTACTTTGACAAGAGTTGTATTTTATTTATTATTCTTCTACTTCGTTGTAATACCATCCTCTCCCAAAGGAAGTCTTTTCAGGAATCTACAATATTGTATTGGATACATCTCTTTCTTTAATGCTAAATAAGCTTTTCAGGCATATGAGCAATGGTGCATATTTCTTCAGATGGCAAAGAGGGGGAAAAACTATATTCAGAAGAGTTCCACTTTGCACAAGACTGATAATTCACTGCAATCCAAAAGCACTGCGATTCAAACTTACAGTAGTTACTTTTTCAGAAGGAAAAACAAATATGGCATGGTCATGTCATCCAAAAGTAAGAAAGGGTATGATAGTGGTTTGGCACTCACAATATTGTTCCCAATTCTCATCTGTCCGGCCATCAAAAACATGACAGACTCTTTGTGCCACCAGGAGTATATTATCTCAAGAATTTCCAGTATCCTCTAGTGGTCCTGAATTGGCCCAAATACTCTGTGTACAGTATGAGGCTCACAAAGAGGATTGCAGGGATGTGGGTAGCCATGCTGTCACTTGTCACTGCAAGAACAGTATTCTGTGTTCGTTCCACTTGGCTTCCACTTTTCACCTTCTTAAGGACCTGTATAACAAATGGATGCTGCGTTCAAATCAGGAGTTGCACAGAACTGTTGGCTTCCTCCTGCTTGTTCTCAGCTTCTTTCCCTTTTTTGTATTCTGTCAAATGACATCTCTCACTATCTTTTTTTCCTTTCTTTTTTGGTCTCCTTGTTCAGACTTTTTTGACCTTTTCATATACATTTGTCAGAGTGTGGTAAGGAGGTTATCCTTTCTGCAAGTTTCATAACAACACATTTCTGTTCTGTCTTCCTTTTTACCTCTATGTTCAGTTTGAACTAACACTTTGCTGTATGTTCTTTTTCTTAATTGCATTTGCCAGATTTTCTGAAGGCCCCATTAGAGAATTATGTGAAAAATTTGGAGGTGCCAGTCAAAATTATTAGGATGGAGCAGCGGTCAGGACTGATTCGAGCTCGTCTTAGAGGAGCAGCCGCTTCTAAAGGCCAGGTCATCACTTTCCTGGATGCTCACTGTGAATGCACTTTAGGCTGGCTGGAGCCCCTGCTGGCGAGAATTAAGGAGGATAGGTGAGCATAAAGAATGGATATCTCTTCAAAAACTCTCTCTTCGTGGTGTTCAAAGCACAGCTGTGGAATAATGTTGTCTAAGCTAAAAATATGATAAGCTTTGCCCCAAGGTCAAATGATTTTTTCTTTTCTAGTCTAGTGTAGAAAAGAGTGGTATAATATACCAGAGTGGTATAATATACCGCCGCCCAGAGTGGTATAATATACCAGATGGGTGGGATATAAATCAAATCAAATAAATAAACAAATAAATAAACAAATAAACAAATAAACAAATAAATAAAATAATGTTCATGGTGCATGTGTTTCATTTGTTGGTTTAAAAGACTGCCTTCTTGATTAAATGTGGTTTGTTTGTTTATAAAATGTATTCTGCCCATCTTCTGTTGTAGTCCATGAATGTTGTAACAATTTGAAAAAACTAGGACAGATATTTTTAATACCATTGCTGATGGAAAGTGAAAATGACATGTGCAGTCTTAGAAGCAGGCTTCGTACTTCATTTTGTATCAGAAAGGAAATATTTATGATCTGGGGTTCAGTCTTTTAAAATAAAGAAGTATTTCTCCTTCTTTGTACTATTATTTCAGTTGCATGTAAATATGTGGACTTTAATTTGATTAAAGCTCGTGTGAACTGTCATTCAGATTTCATTAAAATCACTATGATTTAATTAATTGGATAGCCTTCCTAACATTTAGACATTTTTAGAGCCTTCCAGAGGTACAGCACATTGTTGTTGTTGAGGATGATGAAATGTGCCTATTTGGCTCAAAACATCCTTGTGAGGGAGATGTATGTCTCTACAGCCATCCAGTTACTTTACTTTTGAAATAATACCACCTTTCTGGGGAGCACAAGGAGTTGTGGTGGAAAGAGAATAAAAAAACAAAATCTTGAAAATGGTAATCCAGGTTCCATTTCTGGTTTAAAATCTGTCAGTTCCAACTTGGGGTGACCCCCTTCTAAGGTTTTCTAGGTAGAGAATACACAGAAGTGGTTTACCATTCCCTTCTTCTGGGGGCATCCTGGGACTGTATGGCTTGCCCAAGGCTGTACAGGCTGGCTCTTCTCCCTGGAAGCACAGTGGGGAATCAGGCACTCAGCCTCTGGCTCCCCAGCCAGATATCTAAACCAGTAAGCCATCCAGCCAGCTATATTCCCCTATAAAGATTTCTGAACTGTGAGTACTTTATGTTATTAAAAAGGAACCGTTGCAGCTCACTATTAATTAAGCTATCATATCACATTAAAAGACAGCAAGAAAATACAAAAATACAAAATTCTACACCTGGAGGGAGGGGAACCCCAGGTGCACAGTCACAATATGGGGGATAGTTGGCTCAGTAATACCATAATAATAACAATAAACTTTGAACTGCAGAGCTGGAAGGGACCCTATGGCTCATCAAATCCAACCCCTCTCAAGGAGACACAGTGGGGAAATGAATTACCAACCTCTGGCTTCACAGCCAGAGGTCTAAGCCACAGAGCTATCCTATGAATGAGAAGGATCTTGGAATTGATGTAAATTAAAAGCTGAATATGAGCTAACAGTGGGATAGGGCTGCAAAAAGGGCAAATGTGATTTTAGGATGCATTAACCGAAGTACAGTCTTCAGATCTCATGAGGTTCCAATACCCCTTTATTCAGCACTGGTTAGGTCTCTAGGTGACATAACACTTTAAGAAGTGGACATAACACTTTAAGAAGGGTGCCAATAAACTTGAACAAGTTCAGAGGAGGATAACAAGGATGATCAGAGGACTGGGAGCCAAGCCCTATGAGAAAAGACTTCTTTGGGCATGTTTAGCCTTTAAAAAACAAAACAGAGGGGAGATATGATAGCACTTTTCAAATACTTGAAAGGTAGAGGAGGGGAAGGACCTGCTCTTAGTCATCCCAGAGTGCTGGATATGTAACAATGGGCTCAAGCTCCCAGAAGCCAGATTTTGGTTGATTTTCAGGAAAAACTTCTTAACTATTAGAGCAGTATGACAGTTGAACCAATTACCTCAGAAGATGGTGGACACTCCAGTGCTGGAGGTGTTGAAGAGAAAACTGGACGACTCCCTGACAGATCTGCTTTGATTTGTATTCCTTCACTGAGCAGAGGGTTGGACTTGATTGCCTCTAGATACATACATAGAATGCATGTAGACAGAAGCAGGTTTCTGGCTGGATGAAGACTCATGTGGCCAAAATGGATTAGCGCTGTTCAGCTCCCATGGCCATTTGCAGCCAGAGAAGGCTGCGATATCATGTTTCATCTGTTCATGAAAGATAATGAGGGGGGAGAGGGTAGCTAAGTTGCGTCATCTGTTTCATCCAGCTAAGCAGGTTGCAGGCTATAATGATATAGTGATTAGAAGATAATCAACCTTTTACTACTTGTGTGGAGGAATTAGTTGCCCTAGCTCCTAGAAAGCTCTGCTTTCTCTTATTAGCGATTTTAAAGTTAATTTTAAAGAATCACCAGCATATCTGTTGGGCGGGCTGCTTGCTACCATTCAAAAGTGTTTAAAAAGCAGGCTATATATATATTATTTTATCTTGTCATGGTTGTTGATTTTAGTTGTTTTCTTTCTTTGTTTTTGTTTTATTATATTGGCACTCATTTATTAAATACTGGTTATTCTGGACTTATCAGCTACAGATTGGTTTTTAAGGAGGAGTCAGATAATGCAGACGTGGCAACTATTCCTATAGGTACTGGGCCAGCGAAATTTCTTGTGGAGAGAGAGATGAGAGAGAGAGAGAGACATGTTTGCCTATTTTTATTCTTATTCTTTGTTTTGTAGGAAGATTGTTGTTTGCCCAATTATTGATGTGATCAGTGATGACACTTTTGAGTACATGGCTGGGTCAGACATGACTTATGGAGGATTTAACTGGAAACTTAACTTTCGTTGGTACCCTGTTCCACAGAGGGAAATGGACCGAAGGAAAGGTGACAGAACATTGCCTGTGAGGTAAGAGAAAGGGATGAGAAATATTTCATGATCATAGAGTACTTTGTATGTGAATGTGAGAAATGTTAGCATGTGTGTTTATAATTTAGCTTAAGTAAATTGAAACAGAATACAAGTAATAAACCACATAAATCAGGGAAATAAAGGAACTCCAGTATGTTTGTTTGCAGGAGATGGTTTAAACTGTTTTCTGTACATTCTAATAAGATTTTCATAGCACATTTTCCTTACATTTAAAGCTGGATTTGAGTTTTTTTGGGATTGGGTTGCAAATTTAATGACAGGAAAATCAGTAAACGTATGTGCAAAGTGATACATAAGAATAATGCATTTTGAGTTATAAAGTTCGGTTGTGGGTTTTTTTAAATGGATAGATAGATATTTCAGTGATTCAGCAAGACAGAGTCCATTTGTGGGGAAGAATTCCAGAATTAATTTGGGAGGAAACGTCTTCCCCTTGGATATTTCACAAAAGAGAACAGGAGCGGGATCTTTTTGTTTCTGTTGTTGTTGTTTGTTTATTGCTGCCTTGCAAATTGGTGAAATTATCCACCACCCCTGTCTTGTATTCATTTTCTTTGCAACATTCTTTTTGATGTAGCACCTGGTGGTGAAGTGGCTATATCCATTTGTTTTAGAGTAAATTATGATATTGTTGAATAGAATGCTGAACTTTCAGTAGACCTTTCAGTAATATTTACTTTTTTGTGTGTGTGTCTTCACATGGTATAAAAATATGGCCCCATCCGGTCGGCAGTATATGCTGTTGATCGTGTGCATTTGTATGTTTTGAGTGGGATGGTGGTGTTCTCAACATGGAGAAGCTTTTTACAATTCATAGTGAGGTTGCTGCAAGGTTTAAGCTTGCTTACATTGTGTAGCTCTGCAGGAATGATGAAGGGAGTATTATAATAGTCTATCCCAGGAGGCCCATGGGAAATAGCCCAAGACGCTGACAGTCCCCCAAGCAACATTTCCCAGTTATTAAAGCCAAATATGTTTCCTTGCTTTGGAAAATGATAAAAAGAAGTTGGACAGTGGTTAAAATGGGGGCGGACAATTGCAAAGGTCAAATTTTAACTCCCAGTGTTGGCTGTGAGTTGTAACAAACCTAGAAATTATCAAAACTGTAAGGAATCAAAACCACAAATGATGATATATAAAGGTGTTGTTTTTTAAAAAAAATCATAAACTCATCCTGGTTTTCATATATCCATTTTTATTTTTATTTTATGTGTTGGTTGGGACTAGGGAGGCTGCAGCCCCGTCATGCAAATTCCACTACTCTCAGAGACCTCCATGAGTGGAAAAAAAACCATGATTTTCCTCCAAAGTGTTTTTCCCATTATGAGGGGGTGGGCAGTGGAGGACCTTGGAGGAGCTGAAACGGTTTGAGGCCCACCAATTGTATTTTGCTCACTCTGGTCTCATGCAAGAATAGGAGCAAAGGTGGAATGAACATGAACTATTTGACCATTTTGCGAGACATTCTTCAGACAAAATGTCTTGTTGCTGTATGGACCTGGATACTGTAATTGGTAGGAGTCCAGGTGATGTAACATTACATCTTTTCAATTTGCTCAGGCTAAGGATGTGGTCATGATGCTTTGAAGGGAGAATGTCTGCACTGTGGGTTGACCCGTATCCTTCCTGGTGTATACAGTATAATCTGCCACAGGGTTGGGAGAGATTTTATACAAGTGGGTTAGTATAAAATCCCTATAATAGGGCTTAATTCCATTATATTTAAGAAGTGGTGCTTGTTTTCTCTCTGTGACATTCTTATTTTCCTTTTAACCCTACTGTAGCTTTACAATAAGTAACCCTACTTGTATTGTGTAATTTACAACCAGTCTCCAACATTCCATTCTTGGATTCTTAGCACCCGGAATTTTTGGATGAGATGAATTCTATAGCTCTAGCTCCAGGCCTGGTTAGGGGATAGAGATGGCTTTGGCCAGCTTGGTAAAATTCAGCAGAGGTGCTGCATCTTTTGATGCTTTGTTATCCTTCTGGATCATATGAGTGGGACACAAGTTGAAGTCAGCATTCACTGGTACGTCCAGTATTTCATGCCAGGGGAATCAGTTTTTGAAGGTGATATTAGGACAGTCCTGTTTGGTACCATTGTTGCTTTCCTGTGGTATAATTCAGGGGCACTTCTTGTCTGCCCTGTTAACATGTTGTATCCTCTATAGCATTTTACATCTATAGGACATGGAAGAATGGGAATTCATTCTCACCTCTAAATACACAATACCCAAATCTTGTTTTCCTTTCCCATTTAAATCCAAACAAGTTGCTCAAACTGGGAAATAATTCTGGTTTTGCTAATGGACTAGATCACTGGTTCTTAACCTTGGGTTACTCAGGAGTTTTGGACTGCAGCTCCCAGAAGCCTTCACCACCAGCTGTCCTGACTGGGGTTTCTGGGAGTTGCAGTTCAAAAGCATCCGAGGAACAAAGGTTAAGAACCACTGGACTAGATGAGGGTGAACAAGTTGAAATGTAATCAAGAGTTGCTATTAGTCACTTGGGTGGCAGAGCAGGGAATGTGGATCTAGAATGGATCTAGAATGAAGATCCATATCCTGGAAAACATAAGGTGGCAATTTGGATTTAGCATGGATCCAGAATGAAGATCCATATCCTTGAAAACATAAGGTGGCAATTTGGATTTAGCCCATACCAGGATGTCCAGGTGATGAGGAGTGCTTTTTGACACTTACGCTTAGTATATCAGATGTAAGGAACTGTCTTTGAAACATCTGATGTGGCCACAATGGTGGCATATAGTTGGTTTCTTCTTGATTGGTCTGCTGTAATATACTATGTGTGGGTGCATTTGAGAAGTGTGAACATATTTCAGGGGGTTCAGAATATTGCAGTTGAACTATTGACTAGAACTGTTTATAAGGGAACATTGATTCTCAAAACAGACTCACCACCTATTAAGTTTTTTTGTTTAGGAAGGACTGTGTGGATTTTAGTATCCTCAAAATACACATTTCTGTATGAAGCCCATTTGGCTGGAACTTGAGAGAGGACCTTTTTGGTAATTACTCTCAAGCTTTGGAACTCATTGCCAAGCAAGGCTTATCCAATAGAAAGTTATAATTGCCTTCTACCAGCAGAAAAAGATATTTTAGAGAAGCCTTTGGGGTATCACATAACTATCTTTTGGTTGATTTATTCAGATATTAGATTAAGGGAGCCAGCTTTTCTTCTTTGGCCAGACCTCATCTGGAGTAGTGTCTAGTTCTGGGCACCACAATTCAAAGATGATATTGGTAAACTGGAACATGTGGAAATTAGGCTGACCAAGATGTCAAGAGGTCTGGAAACCAAGCCCTATGAGGATCTGTTGAGGGATCTGAGCATGTTAGCCTTGAGAAAAGAAGGCTGAAAAGACAATAGGATAGTCATCTTCAAGATTTGAAGGGCTGCCATACAGAATATGGAGTAAGCTTCTTTTCTGTAGCTACAGAGAGTAGGATTTGAAGTAATGGATTCAAATTACAGGAAAGGAGAGAATAACTGAACATTAGAAATATTTCTGAATATTAGAAATAGCTTCGTAACAGCCGGTGTTATTTGCCATTAGAACACTGCTTCAGGGTGATAGATTCTTCCTTTTCTTTACAAAGGTTAGATGGCCACCTGTCAGTAATGCTTCAGGTGAGGATTTCCTGCTTAGATGACCCAGGAGATCCCTTTCAGCAGCACAGTTCTGTTATTCTGTGATTTCCACAATGCATGTGTCTGCATAGTAAGTGCCCCTCAGATTGTTCCCAAATGCAAATTCTGCCCAATGTCTTCCTTTGGGGGCATATCAAAAAGACAGATGGAAGGTATGTGATTTGCATTTAAACACCTACAGTGTGATTGCAATTGGTGGGCACCTTGTTTTAAAAAAACCTACAAGTACAAGTTGTGCAATAGCTACAGTAAGCTACTCTGTTCTTAGAGGTAACAACTTGGTTCTCCGGGATAGATAGGAATATTGTGGGAAGGCATTATCTGTCATTGGTTTGGTGAACACAGGAAGAATGTGATGAGCAATAGCTGTGGTTTGATGGGAGTTATTATCTTGAATTGGCAGGCTTGAATAGTCCCCAAGGTAACTGACTTCCAATTCAGGGGAATCCATTTCACATAATCAGTATAAGATTGCCTCTGTCAGCTTCAAGATCGATGGCTTTCATTTAGAAAGCAAAAAGCAAAGTGTGCTGCTAGTTTTGTATATTGCCCTATACCACTTGAAGCACTCTCTGGGTGGTTCGCAGTTCAGTTATGCGGGCTACACGTTGCTGCCCCCACAAGCTAGGTGCTCAGTTTATCAACCTCGGAAGAATGGAAGTCAACCTTGAGCCATCTACCTGAGCACATCAGGATCGAACTCAGGCCAGGGGTTGAGTCTTGGCTGCTGTAGCGTAGTTTAACCACTGTGCCATGGGGCAGTCTTTCAGTGATCAGTATTACAAAGAGAGGAAAAGGGAAAATGTAACTAGACTAAAAAAAGTGAAAAACCGAACAATAGACGTGCCTAAGGGTGCCTGAAATTCCAGCGTAATCATTAAAATGAGGTGATGGTAGACTTGACTAATAATTTTGAATCTTTTGGAGTGTCATCTCTATGGTCTTCTGTCTCTGCTTATATTTATGTGGACATCTTTCAATGAACTTCTTACAAGCATCAGAAAGGAAAGGATGTAATTAGGTAAAGAGTGGATCGTTTTCGTGCTTACTGCAAAACAACTCAATATATTTGTTCTGGTTATGATGTATAAGGCACTTTTGTTATTTCCTGGGGCCCACCCCTGTTTGAATTGTTCTCATTTGCAACCGTGTAAAATGAATTATTTTGAATCGCCACATTTCAGGTTTCCCAGTGGTCTGGAAACCCCAGCCTTACTGGTTTCCATCATGAGTGCAGCAAAATGAACAAACAAACAAAAGTGAATGAAATGGGATTCTTCTGCATGAATACAAGGTTCACCAAGAGCTTCCTTGTTTTCTGAAGCCAGTTAGCGTTCCTGGGAACCTCCTTGCAAGCGTTAATAATCTTAGTAACAAGATGTGCACTCTCTGTGTCTTGTTTTATTCCGTGTGTGCTTCATTTAAAGGGGAAAACAGTAAGTTGTTGGGAGAGGGAGGTTGGCTGTTGCCACAGTAACATATTACAGTAGTGTGGCTACAGTGGGCAGGTGAAACTTTTTCCAGGTGAGTTGAAGCCCTGGGAAAACAGTACCTTAACCATGGAAGTTGCCCACAAATGGTGCAGACCTTGAATAGCATGGTTAGCTTCAAGAGATAGGGGGATCTGGTGTCTCAGATCTGAGCTGGGATATAATGTTGCTAAGGCAGCGACAGTGATTCCTATCAACCAATGCCTTTTTTAAATACAGTGACCGATGCATACCTAACCTAAACTAATTACAATTAGTTCTGGAAGGGATACTTTTTGTGCTGTGTATCCCTGTTTGGAGCCAGTAGAGTTCACTTTCACTTGGAATGAAAATCAGTATAAATGGCTATTGCGTGTCTCAGGAATATCAAGTAGCTGTTTCATTTGTCCTGTTTTCATTTATCATTAAGGAACTGAAGCAACAGAAATATCAGAGTTTCCCAGAATGTATGGCAAAGGTTAATTAATTCAGTATTGTAAAAGCCTACAGGTAATTGTCATCTAAGACAGTTGTAAAACAGAGCTCTGTATAATCTGTTCCTGTAAGGAGAACTTGACAGATAGCTCCTTTATCATATCTGCAGTGAACAGAAGCTATGGGATGTAATTTTTAAAAAAACTAATTAGTGATGTTTAATGTTGCAAACCAAGGTTCAGAATTCATTGAAAGCTAACTCAGTTATGCTATTTAAAATTAAATTCAAGACTACGTAATTTATTTCTATTTAGCATAAATCTCCTGTTTTAGTCTTTGTTGCCTTAAAACAAAGTCTGCATAGCAATAGTCAGATCCCTTACATTTTAAATTGTCTCATTAAAGGCATGAGCCATCTTCTGAAGTAAGACTTTATGGATTATAACCTATTTCATTTCAATTTTATCTGCAAGAGCTGCAAAGTAGAGAAATACAGCTTAGCAAAATGAGGACAAAAAGATCCTTTCAGTACATGATGACTTTTACTCTCTTCAGAGCCTGCAAGTATAGGTTTGACTTGGACGTTACATATATCAGTCTTGGAACAAAATGTAAAGTAGTTAAAATGCTGCTGCTGTTACTTCTGCTGATGATGATGATGGTGAAGCTGCATGGGGATTTGTTAAATAAAGGAGATTAACACTTTCAAATGTATTCCTGTTTAGCAGATTTTGTAGCTTCTGGTTTTAGACCAGCTTGCCGTGACTCAAAACCATACTTCGGCAAAGGGATGCTGAAATTTACTTCTTAGGGAACATAGACAAATGATTATGTTGTTGAAAACCATGACTCACTGACAAAAACACTATGCTGTTATAAGCCATGACGGACTGATTTCTTATAATCCATCCGTATATATAGCTAACATAAATTTGCTAACATGGCCAAAAATGGGTAGAGGTTTATGTTAACAAATGTAGTTTACTAAGTCTGAAGAACTCGGTTCACTGAAATAAATAATAATATCATGATGCCTAGTCAATTATAACCTTTTAAAGATAAAGAATACTCAGAAATTCTCCTCAGAGCATGCAAGTATAGGTTTGACTTGGACGTTACAGATGTCAGTCTTGAAGTTTCTCTGTAACTTTGCAACTTGCCCAAAGTTGTACAGGCTAGCTCTCCTCTTAACGGGCTCAGTGGGGAATTGAACTCCCAACCTGTGATTCTGCAGCCAAATACCCAGCTCACTGAGCTACAGAAATAATTAAATTGGACTTCATAGTGTCCCTCTATGAGTAAAATAGCCATCACTGGCAGAACAGCCTCCTCATATAACCATTCTTGAACCCACTCCCAAATTAACCTTGGCAGTTTGTAGGATTTGAGAGGTGTGGGAGTGCAGAGAGAAGACAGCAAGGAGAAGTTCTGTTCTGCAAGGAGAAATCCTTGTTTGATGGATGCAGCCCTTTGATTACATCTGTGTAACTAAAATTTGTTAGATAATTCACAGTAATTAAATATTCATTCATCTTTCCTGTGTTTGCCTGTGTTTTCATTCTTTGCATATATTTGCTTGTACATGCTATGATTGAAAGTACTTTTTCTGCATTCCTGCATCATATAATCAAGATTACATGCCATTTCCTGCTCCACACATCATAATAGGAGATCTGATGTTTTGTCGCTGCTTCTTCCACCATTTATTTGAAAAACGGATGTTTGAAAAAGGCTATCTGAAGGAAAAATGTATCTATTCTCCTGCAAGATGAAATCTGTAATGCATACGTTTTGACAAATCAATGGAAAATAATCAATAAGATCACTTGGATGAGGCAAATGACTGCATCCTCAGCTATTTAGTGGTACCATTTTGAGTACAAGTTTCTATTCCCCAACAAAATTAAAGAATTACTGAACCAAAACATTCATCCGTCATTCTAATGTCTCCATCATGAGGGCTTTAAATATGAAAACATTTATTTAAAAGTATCCATCTCTGAACAGATTTTAAAGAAATTAATCCTCTTTAAAAGTTTAGTGTATATTTTCAGGCACTGGAATGGTGGCTTCTCCAAAGGCATACATAATAATAGTACTTGTCACTCGCAAAAGTTTATAATTCCGGAAAGTGACTGTTCCAAGTAATTTTATGAACACAATGGCTGAAATCTTATTGCTTAGCTTTGTTGTTGTTGTTTAGTCGTTTAGTCGTGTCCAACTCTTCGTGACCCCATGGACCAGAGCACTCCAGGCCCTCCTGTCTTCCACTCTTAGCGTAGTACGTAACAACTAGAGTAGGCCCATTGGAACCAGTGGAACATCTAGAGGAGATGATTCACCAAGCCGCCACTGAATCAGTGGGCCTACTCAAGTTTAACTTACTATGGTAAGCAATGGGATTTCAACCACTAAAGATGAAGGTAAAGAAGTTGAACCGTCCCCACTAAATGCTTCAGATTATATGTAGAAACACAATATTCCACTCACTTAGCTATATGATGATATATGTTTTAGTGTGAACAATTTTTTAAAAAACCCTTTAAAACATAAATGCACGTGTGATTTGGCCGGTTATTGCAATATATATATTGGAGTTCATGGCCAGAAGTTGTATGTTCAGGAACCAAAATGATAAAACATGTTAATATACGTTCGGCTTATAGCAAGTGGAATATAATCATGTCTACAATGTTTTGAGGGTATGTGCTATGCTGTAGTATCACCTATTAAATTCCACACAGCATCTTTCAAAATTTATTTTTCCCTTTCCTTTTCCTTTTCCTTTCCCTTTTTTTGTTTTTCTTTTGTTTTCACCTAGGACCCCTACTATGGCTGGTGGCCTATTTTCTATTGACAGAAACTACTTTGAAGAGATAGGAACTTACGATGCAGGAATGGATATCTGGGGTGGAGAAAATCTTGAAATGTCTTTTAGGGTAATTTTCCATTTTACTTCCTTTTCTGATAACTGGCATAGTTTTTCAGTAAAAAAAGTTAACATTTAAGACAGGTGTACTTCTTTTTAATTTGCTTTCACAAAAATGATATCTGTATTTTGCTCCTAAATTTTGGGCGCAATCCAATCTGTGACGCTCTACCAGTGGAAAGCTTCAGTTAGTAAATCAGGGAGCCATTGATTCCACCTCAGAACATCTTTGCCTCTTAAGATGTGCTGTAGGTGCTTGAACACCTGTAGTGTTTATTTCATCCATTCCGTGGGTAAAAGGAGCACTTATTGGATTGCCTCCTGATGCTCTAAGAGCTGTACCGTCGTTATTTATTTATTTGTTTGGTGTACATGAAGGGTGCAAAAGTGATTGGGAAGGTTTGAGGATATCAATATTTCAAAATTTAGATGCATATAATTATGTTATCAATGGTTTTACTCCAGTAAAATATAACATTGTATTCATGAAGTAATTAAATTTGCAATATAGAAATCTTGCTCTTTGACCAAAATTTCTAAAAGTTTTAGATTAGGAAGCTGGAAATTGTTAATGAATCTAGAGTATGAATCTACAGATTTTAAAATTGTGCTTTACATTTGAGGATCGTGGCTGCAAACGGCTATTCTCATACCTGTACAGTATATGAATATAATAATATATGCTCAAATTTATATGAGCAGTTTTCATACTTGTATATCATTGGGTTACTTGAGGATCTTAGCATATTCCAGTATAAAACCATCTGACCTGGCCCTCCTAGACTAATGGACAGACTGAACTTGTCTCATCCCTCAGAATCGATGGTTTTTTTCAGATTTTGCGATATTTTTCTTAGCTAAGGATAATGTGTGGTAGTATGTGGAAAAAATAAGGTAAATGTGTAATTTGAGTTGTCTTGTGTACCCCATAGAGAGGAAAGCAACATATAAAACAAACAAATATTTGAAAATGCATGCATAGATGTATTTTCTTCTTGTATTTTTTTTTAAAAAACTACATTGATGTGGAAGTATGTCAAACTCAATATAAAAGTAAATGCCTAATAAATGGAATAGACCAAAAAGAGATCAAGCCATACCACTTCCTTAGTAAAATTTTAAAAAGGGTGGAGTCTCAAGACCTCTTTCAGATTAATAGCACTATTATGATATTGTCCCACTCTAAAATTCTTAATTAAAATCTGATATCTCAAAATACCCTTTATATGTTGAATTTTACTACCTAATTTCCAACAAACTAATGCGGTCTCAAGCTGCACCTCTCCCACTGAACTGACCATATAGCGGATGAAACTTTCATGGCTTGCTAAATCCATTCTGGGAACAAGATGGATTGGATGGCTTTGTGTTAGGATAGCCTTGCATGCTTCTGTCTCTTTTTAGTTGTATTGGTACAGCTTGTGGGATCAGTGAGCTTGAAGGAAACATGTTTAATTTCTTTGCTGCTGGACTCAAGCTTTCCAATCAAGGTCAGTGTTAATTGGGGTGGGAGGATGTTGCACACCTATCCACCATGATTAATAGTAACTTCTAAAAAATCATAATTACCTTTGGGCTTTCATAAATACATTTAGGAATCTCCTCCTTTCTTCCTGGTGTTTCACTTTTGTGACATCCAGCCTAATAACTTGATAGTCCTAGTGAAGGAGCAAGGTCATTTATTTACCTGACCCATATGTTGAAGCAATGAGAATAACCCCCCGCTGTTTCTGAGCACTGTCCAGACCCAGAGTGAAGTGGATAAATGATTAGAGTATAATACAAGTTAAATTCATTTCATTCACATTGATATTAGTAAGAAAGCACCTGCATAATTCACTTCCAGTGAAACTGATAGACTCAGATAATGCTTTTCTTAATAGGTTACAGTTATGAGGCATTCAAGAAAAACTTAGATAATCTCCTGGCAGATGTGCTTTGATTGTATTCCTGCATTGAGCAAGGGGTTGGATTTGATGGCCTTGTAGACCCCTTCCAACTTCACTTTTCTATGATTCTATGGATGTTACAATGTTTGTTTAATATTTGGCTGCTGCTATTTACAGTAAAAGGTTGACATTCTTATTATCTTGGTCAGGTCTCATTAGGGACTGAGTAAACTGTCTATGAATATTCTCTTGGATTTGACTAGGTGCATTTGTATACAGAAATGTATCTCTGCACTTGTATTGACTTGGAGGCAGAGCCAATGGGGTGCAGAGTGACTGGGGAAGAGACAAAAAGCATTTGGTCTACTTCCCTTCCATGCATTTAGTTGTATATGTAGAGGAGAGTGTCTTGATAGAAGTATACATTTGATCCAAAGACAATCACAAGGAAATCCCTACATGCAGACCATTTGGGAATTGGGTTTACTCTCCTGAAGGACAAAGAACGACCTTGGAAAAAATGAAATTTGATTAGAATTATTTTATCCTAAAAGTTATTTTGAAATACAGTAGATGCTGACAAAAATTTCTTGAACTGAAGGGAAATAAAAGTGTTACTCTTGATTAAAAAATAACTTCCATTCATATATTTGCTGACTCATTTGTTCCTTGGCAAAACAGCTTGATTTTTCCCCCTCTGTTATATGATGTAGGTAATCTTGTATTATTGTAGTTCATTCTACACTTGAGTTGCTTGTAGACTTAAGAATTCCCATCCTGTTTGTGAGTGTGTGCTTTCCACTTCGAAGTAATAGATATGATTTCAGGATGGCAATAGGTCGGATGTAAAAATAATTTCCAAAGAATTTAGGAATATCAGATTGGGAAAAATTTGTTTTAAAACACATCTTAGATACAATCAAATTATTTTCAAAACTGAAGAAAGGGTGTTAAGCTGGCCAGGGGAGGCAGCAATGCCATGTGGAGCTTTAAAGGTAAAGGTAAAGGTTCCCCTTGACATTTTTAGTCCAGTCGTGTCCGACTCTAGGGGGCGGTGCTCATCCCTGTTTTTCAAGCTGTAGAGCCAGCGCTTGTCCAAAGACAGTTTTCTGTTGTCATGTGGCCAGCGTGACTAGGGAATGCCGTTTTACCTTCCCACCGAGGTGGTACCTATTTATCTACTCGCATTTGCATGCTTTTGAATTGCTAGGTTGGTGAGGAGCTGGGACAAAGCGATGGGAGCTCACTCCGTTGCGTGGATTCGATCTTACGACTGCTGGTCTTCTGACCCTGCAGCAGAGGCTTCTGTGGTTTAGCCTGCAGCGCCACCACGTCCCTTACTCCCATTTTAATTTAGCATTCAACAGAAATGTGAGGATCGTATTTTACAGCTTTGATTGGACCTGGGATTGTCATGACACAGGTTACTGTTCCTTCCCCTACCTCTTTAACTCAGTATAGCACTGAAGCCCTCTCTAACCTAAGGCAGATAATTCTCTGCTTTTCCCTTTGTTAGCAATAAAATAATGAATTGAAGTAAAAGGTGATAGTTTGCAGTCCTTTTATGGTATTCAAAGTCAGTTGCCTGAGGCAGCTACCTGATTCTTTGAATTAGATAGATGTTAGCCGAAATCCATTTGCTAGTCTCAACAAGAGTACATGTGCTAAATCAGTTGCTGAATGGTACTTCAGCATGCAGGTAACACACCTTTGATTGAGTGAGCCTACTTTCTTCTGTTTGAGACCAGCAACTGGATTTAGGCAGTGTTTCCTGTAAATGGATATCTGACAATTCTTTAAAATGCAGATGCATTGCTTGTATCCTGTGTTTCCTATTTGTAGCTTGTGTGGGAGATTGTAAATGTACAACTCCTTTATCAAGAGTCAAGTGCATCAATCAAAGTAAGAAGCAGCTTGTTTGTGATAAATATATTTTATACATTCTTTATGTTTGCAGATGCTAGTGCAATCATGACTCGCTTGGTATGTGGGTAATAACCATCCCTACAGAACAGTGGAGAGGATAGGTCTCTGGTTTCATCCAACAGAGCAGAACCCTTTTGGGGTTTACACGTATTGAATGTGCAGATATTGGATATGGAGAATACATTATCTTTGTGACCTTAGTTGGATGGAGTGTGTGATCAGTATTTGAGAGATACATGATAGCTATCTTCATATAGGTATGTTCTGTGTGGGAGTTTTTTTGTCTATGGAAAATGTTCAAGAAGAAGGAAAGGAAATTCGGCTAGTGCGTATGTGTGAGTTCCTCATTGAGAAACTTACTTACAAAATGAATTCAAATGCTTTGCAATGGAAAGTTTATCCTAGGACTTGGAGGAAACCAGGAATCCTCTGTTGTTGTTATGTGCCATCAAGCCACCTCTGACTCATGGTGACTCTATAAATGAGCACTCTCCAAAATGTCCTGTCCTCAGCCGCCCTGCTCTGCTCTTGCAGGCTCAAGCCAGTGATCTCTAGGCAGTTAGTCCATCTCTTCCTCTTTTCCTGCTATCTTCCACCTTTCCCAGCATTTTTGTTTTTTCCAGATAATCCTGTTTTCTCATGATGTGCCCAAAGTAGGACAGCCTCGCTTTCAACATTTTTGCCTCCAGAGTTAGCTCAGGTTTGATTTGATCTAGGACCCACTTCTTTGTCTTTTTGACAATCCAGGATATCCACAAAGCTCTCCTCCAGCACCATTTTTAAACACAACATTTTTTTCCTGTCAGCTTTCTTAATTGTCCTGTTTTTACACCCATGCATGGTGATTGGAAATACAAGACTGTGGATGATCTTGGTCTATCATTTATAATTAATGGCAAGCAGTTAGCACTATTCCCTGTATAAGGATACAGTCAGACAGTGATATAGGATAGCATTGGATCACACTGGAAAGGGTAACATCTTTGGGTCTGGTCTCCTTTACAGAATCGAGTCACACAGTCTGGTTCCCATCACTTAAGCCCAGCTCCAAAATANTGTTGTTGTTGTTGTTGTTGTTGTTGTTGTTGTTGTTGTTGTTGTTGTTGTTCACACAGAGTAGTAGCCCTGCTGTTGGACCTAAAAGGTCCTGATGGGTATAGAGCAGGGTTGAGCTGGTTCACGATTCCATGTGGTT